ATTTAAAAAAATCTGCGAATCATTTGCATATTGCAAATAAATAATTATCCGGAAAAAAATTTTTTATATAAGAATATTAAAATATAACTAAAGCAACTAGTAATTTTTGTGCCGGTTGATGGCCGCGCATTGGCTTACAATTAGTTGATAACAAGCGCGAGGCACTGCGGTGTCGCGCCAGAGAGGATCCTCTCTGACTCCATATGTATGTCGTCCAGTGACAGGCAGTGTTGCCAATTCCTTGAGAGCTTTTTTTCTACAGGGACACTTCTGAATACGTGCAAACTTCAAATTCTACTAGATTTTAACTTATCTATAAAAATATTTATTATTAATAATTAAATAAATAAAAAATTTGTTATTAAAATTTTAACGTACATATTTGATAGAATATAAAATTTATTTGATCTAAATTATGGAATTTTATTATGTATATGTATATATACATATATACATATGTGTGTACAGTGTATTTACATTTTTTAATATTTTTATTTTTGTTACATATTTTCAAACGAAAGATACTCCTTTAAATAAAAAAAATTAGTTTTTTGGTATCCCATATATAAAAATAAGAAACAGAAGGAATAATTTTAGGAACAGAAAAAACTTAAATTTATACACATAAATATATTCATTAAAAATTTTTAATGCATTTAAACACTTTTGTCCATTGGTGTTATAAAATTTGATTATTTTTTCATGCTGTACAACGATGGTAAAATAGAAAATGCCCCAGTTCCAGATTTGCACGGTTGTCCTAACATCAATCTACTCGAAGGTGATAATATATCATCCTTTTTTCCTATAAATGATAAGAGAAGAATAAGATAATATATACAAACAAGTGCATATATGTGAGTATAATTTTAGAAAAAGATAAATTTTTCAACAAATGTTTTATATATAACACACTTTTATGATATTTTACGATAATTTTATAATAATTTTATAATAATCATGTATGTATCTTTAATAAGAACATAATTCTTTTCATATAATTGATTTTCTCTAATCAGTAATATTGTTGCTATTATATAAATATTATATAATTATAGTATAAAAAATCAATAATTTAAGAAATAGCCTACACAGAGTGTTTCCTTTAATTCGAGCATTTAGAAATATATTTGTTGTTTTTTCATCAACAAAATATAAAAAAAAATTGTTCGTTTTAAAGAATAAATGTTACGCATTATAAGTGCAATATTTTTTTCTATTATTTTACGAGATTTCAAGATCATCATTGTTTTTTTAATGGAATTACACAATCTTTTTTATATAATGATTCCTTTAGTTATTCTGCATATTAAAAATATTAAGAATAAATGACAAAAAGATTTACATTTTTAAAAAATTGTATAATTTCATTTAAAAAAATAGAGATAATTTAAAATCTTATAAAATAATTAACATGAAAAAATACTTATTATATTTGACCCTTTGAAATGAACAATTTTTCTCTTTGATATTTTATAATATTATTAAAATAACAGAAATATTCTAAATATTCGAGTTGAAGGAAATATATTTTATGTAATTTTGATGTGTTTTAATATAACATATGAAACATGTAAAAAGTAAGTATCCTTGATGATCTTACATAATTAAAAAGTATGTAATATAATAATATATATTTTATAGCGTAATAATTTAATTTTTTTATATAAAATTTTCTTTTAAAAATTTATTTGTTACAGATTTATTATTTTTTATAATAAAATTTATCAAAAAATGGAGATAAATAAATTTATCTAAAAATATATTTTTAACAATTGTGTACAAGAAAATAAGTCTAGTCATATGTTGTTATAAATAAAACTAAAATATTTCATCAATTAACACTTTTTTGGAAGAAAAATTAATTTGAAATATCATCAAAACTATCTTTTTGTTATATTGAAAGTAAATACTTTTCAGACTCATATAGCAGATAAAGTTTTTTCAATGCAATATTTTGAATATTTCATCTTTCTAAAGTTTGATAGCAATTTTTAATCTGTAAGTTTAGACCTAATGTAACTCACCTTGCAATGTCGCTGTTTTCAAAAAACCCAGCGAGCTTTCGAAACTTATTTGCTGCAATGGTGAAGCAGAACTCTCCATTCCTTTTCGACTGAGTGGTTTAAATGTACCATCGAATGTCATATAGTCTGCGATTAAGGACAGATGTCTCGAGTCGACGGTTATGCCATACATCTTGAAGACGTCCTTAACTTCTCTTACGATGACTCTATTTGCAGCTTCAATTCCATATGTTTGAGAAATATTATAAATGTCATTGGAATATAATCTGTTTAAATCAAGTATATTGTCATACTTAAACATATCCTGTAAATGTAAAGAAATTTATATTAGAAAATAGAAAATATATTTTCCACTTATACGGATTGTAATGAGTATTTATTTACCGCTATGTTTAAACCATCTGTTTTGAGGATTGTTTCGCCTTTACTATTTTGAAATGTAAAAGCTTTCTTGATACATGGTGTTTCCCACAAGACAGTTTTACTTGCAGCATTCTTGATTACTGTTGGCAAATCCAATGTAATTGCCGTAAGTGGTAACTGAAAAGAAATACATGTTATTTGTTAGGTAGTCTATTAGTGTACATTCTGAAATATATTCTGACTGTAAATATAAAAATCTATGATTCACGTTACATATGTTATTATATAAAGGATGTTAAGAGGATAGTCTAATCCAGTTTAGTCTAGAACTTAAAAAAAAAATCAATTTTTCTCTTTTTACATTTTTTAAATATTTAGGATATCGTTCCAAAAATTTTATCGATATTCGTAAAAATAACGTAAATATAAGTATTTTTAATTTGCAGATTGCACATTTAATGCGCTCTGTCGATGTGCTCAAAGGCAGCTGTTATCAAGCTAATTCTTTCAATAGTTCTTCAGTTTTTCTTAGAATGTTCATGTTTACATTTAGTTTAAAACAACTATTATGTATGGTTCTGGTATCGCTTAGAGAAAAAGTTTCATTTCTTATATTGTCATTTTTATACTATAGTTGAAATTACTTTATACATACGTTTTTCTTGATATAATATTTTTCAAGTCGATTGACACGATTTCTCAGAAACTACTGAATCTATTGGCTTCAACTTTTGTTTTGTATATATATATAAAATATTGTAAAAGTCTGTTTATCACATAAATTAGGATTATTGCAATATCTGTAATATAACTACAATATTTCTTCATAGATGTTAAATTTATAAATTTTGTTAAAAAATTGTTTTTAACATATAATACTTGTTTTCTTAAAACTCCGCTATTTTAACAATATTTGCAATATTTTTTCATTTCATCCCAGTTCAAACTGTAGCGCCATGCGCGCTGTATAATAACTATAAAAATCTTTTAGAATTTTTTACTTAAGTTAAAAGCTTACAATCATGTCGACTATCGACACATTAATTTTTATCAATACATTTTGTTTTTAAATTTATATAATGTAAAAACTAATAAATATTATATACAAATAAACTATATATATATATATATATATA